CTTTCAGGCACGCACGAAACCGACAACCATAAATCAACGAGTCAGGGATGACTCATAATCATCACCTTAGCCCAGCATCTACTCTGCTATCACTCTACGGATCTACGTTCCGCCACTTCTCACCTGACACGTCTACTGGATAAAGCTACAAGATGTCTGCCGAACCCGAGAGACCTGGTTTCCAGGTAGAGTTTACCCAGCTTCTCGACCTTATCATCAGTCAGTCTGTATCCCTGTTCACCTGTAGCACGTACTTACATCACGTTTTTCCAACAGCTTACTTACCCGAGGAAGTCTTCGCGTTTCCTCTTGAAGGGCTCCGGTACGCTCGACAAGATCCGTCACCAGTCTCTGAAGGACCCCACCACGCTCGACTAGGAGGCGAAGATGCTCTCCATCTTTGATACCGGTCTCGGTATGACTACGGCCGACATGGTTAACAACCTCGGCACGAACGCAAAGTCGTTCACAAAGGTTCGTGAGCCACCGCGCATTGATCTACATATTCCTTTTCGGGCATCCTGTCTCACACGCGATCCCTGTGTGCAGGGCTTCATGGAGGCACTCAGCTCTAGCGCCGACATCTCTACGATCGGCCAGTTCTGTGTCGGTCTCCATTCTGCGTACCTCGTCGCCGAGCACGTCCAGTTTATCTCGAACCACAACGGCCACGAGCGGCACATCTGGGAGGCTGCTGCCGGCGGTACCTTTACCATCACCCCCGATACCGCCAACCCGCCCATCGGCCGCGGTACCGAGGTCCGCCTCTACCTTAAGGAGGACCAGCTCGAGTACCTCGAGGACAAACGCATCAAGGATATCGTCAAGAAGCACTCCGAGTTCATCTCCTACCCCATCCAGCTTGTCGTGACCCAGGAGGTCGAGAAGGTACACTCATCTCATCCGTGTGCGCTCGTGAACTTGGATCGCTGACTTCTCGCACAGGAGGTTGAGGACGAGGACGAGGACGAGGAGGAGGAGGCTAAGATCGAGGAAGCCGACAAGGACGAGGTTGAACACGAAGAAGGAGAAGGTCACCGAGAAGTCCAACGAGGAGCTCAATAAGACCAAGCCCATCTAGACGCGCAACCCCTCCAACATCAGCCAAGAAGAGTACGGCGCCTTCTACAAGTCGCTCATCAACGACTGGGAGACCACCTCGCCGTCAAGCACATCTCCGTCGAGGGTCAGCTTGAGTTCAGGGCTATCCTCTACGTCCCGAAGCGGTAAATATCTCTTCTTCTTCAGCGCTTCGAACGCGTTGCTCATGTTCTTTCAGCGCACCCTTCGACCTCTTTGAGCAGAAGAGGCGTGACAACATCAAGCTCTACGTTCGCCGCTTCATGATGGACGACTGCGAGAAGATCATCCCCGAGTACCTCAACTTCGTCAAGGGCATCGTCGACTCTGAGGACTTGCCGCTGAACATCTCTCGCGAGACGCTCCAGCAAAACAAGATCCCCAAGGTCATCCGCAAGCACGTCGTCAAGAAGTGCATGGACCTCTTCTCCGAGATTGCCGAGGACAAGGACAACTTCCAGAAGTTCTGGGAGGCGTTCGGCAACAACATCAAGCTCGGTATCCACGAGGACGCCCAGAACCGCTCCAAGCTCGCCGAGTTCCTCCGCTTCCACTCGACCAAGTCCGGCGATGAGCTCACCTCGCTCAAGGGTACGTTGTCTTTGCTCTTTGATCGCGACGTGCGGTATCTGACGTCATCTTCACAGACTACATCACGCGCATGCCCGAGGTCCAGAAGAACATCAACTACCTCACTGGCGAGTCCCTCGCCGCCGTGCGCGACTCTCCCTTGAGGTCCTCAAGAACAAGGGCTTTGAGGTCATCCTCCTCGTCGACTCCATCGACGAGTACGCCGTCACTCAGCTCAAGGAGTTCGAGGGCAAGACGCTCGCGTCTGTGTCCAAGGAGGGTCTTGAGCTCGAGGAGACCGAGGAGGAGAAGAAGGCGCGCGAGGAGGAGGCCAAGTTGTTCGAGGACCTCTGCAAGATCATCAAGGAGGCGCTCGGCGAGAAGGTCGAGAAGGCCGTCGTCTCGAACCGTATCGCCGACTCTCCCTGCGTGCTCGTCACCGGTCGGTTCGGCTGGTCATCGAATATGGAGCGTATCATGAAGGCGCAGGCGCTCCGCGACTCTTCGATGTCGTCGTACATGGCGTCGAAGAAGACGCTCGAGCTCAACCCGATGCACCCGATCATCGAGGAGCTTCGCAAGAAGGTCGGCGAGGACAAGGCGGACAAGCCCGTTCGCGACCTCACGTACTTGCTGTACGAGACCGCTCTGCTCACCTCCGGCTTTACGCTCGAGGAGTCCACGTCGTTCGCCAAGCGCATCTACCGCATGGTCTCGCTCGGTCTTGACGTCGATGAGGACGAGGAGCCCGCAGCGGCCGCTGAGGAGGACGCCGACTTGCCGCCGCTACTCGAGGGTGTCGGCGCGTCTGCGATGGAGGAGATCGACTAAACGTCTCGTCTTCGTTTCGTCGCTCGTGCTTCGCCTGTTGCTTCCTGTTTGTCATAACCGTTGCTTGTCTTCTCGGGGATTGTTGCATGCAGAAGTGCTTCATTGTTGTATGTACGCCGCTTCCCACACATTTCTATACTGTAGCATCGCCGATGAACAGTCTCTCTTACTTTCATCGTATGCGTGCAACTCGCCTGGGATTTGGAGAATGTGAAGCGAATCTCCTGCTTCGGACGCCTGGACGAGTCCCGAACCTCGTCGGACGCGGAGAGGTTCTGCGCCTGACTCCGTTCATTATCGCCATTATCCTCTAGCTCCCTTCGCTGTTCCTTCGTTTACGCACGACTTCATCGAGGTCTTGAGGTGACCGGTCTTTGTTCTGTGCACGCGCGCATGCTATGCCGCGTGCGCAGACCGCGTTACTGATGGAATCGCTTGTAACGCATCGATGAGACCCTAGATAAGCCCTTCTTAGAGCGCGTACAGGGAACGGCCCACCTCCTACGACCATGATCCCTCGTATCCTTAGGTGAGATCGCTCAATTTTCTCTCTTAACTCGAGCTCACCGGGAGGTAGACGTTTTGTCACCTTGATCGCTGCGCTCGGCTTGGTGGCGTGCATAAGCCTAAGTTGGTCAGGTCGGTTGCCCTTGCGGAGGCCCACAAAGGTGTGCGCCGAGGTCATCGACGATCTCTTGGAGTTACTTTGGCAGGGCGAGATTAAACCCCATTCATACATGTCTTTGGTCCCTGGCCTCGCTCACTTCGCCGGAGCCCTAGAAATGGCCTCGATGGTACAGGATGGTGCGCTGACGACGTATGGTGGGACGAGTCTTAGTCTTGAAGATATGCTATATCTTCATCACGAACTTGGGGAACTTGCCTTCTCTTGGAGAAAAGCCAGAAGCCGGTACGCGTATTTTCATGCATGCGGCACTTCTACTTACTACACATCAGGAGGCTTCATACGCACCGCGTTCTTCTGCATCAACTGCAGAAGTACCAGGCTGCGGTCGACCTCTCCAGACTCCCTCTCTGGCTCGGACCTCCCACGCCCAGCACGCTAAGCTCCCTGATCAATGACGAGGTGCCTCCCTACCTGCTGGCGCTTCAAGAGGTCATTGCCGTTGGTCTGAGATTCGGCTCCGTTCTCGATCACATTCAAGAACGGTCCCCAAACGTCTTTCCGCGCGCGCGCAACGCGACCGGTGCCCGCTTGGCCTCTTCGCACGACGCCAGACGCTCTAGTGCCGGCAAGAGCACAGCAGCTGTACCATCCTTGGACAACTGGTGGTCCGACTGTCTAGCTCTTCGCGAGCAACTCCTTTCCTTCATGAAGAATCATCTTCGAGAGGTATCCGAGTTGCATCGCAGATACAATGCCGGCGACACGCGTTCCTGTGTAGATTCGCCATCGTTCAAGACCTCTCTCTATCAGGAAATGGATCGGGCCCTTATGCTACTGCAGTATGGGCTACCGGCTACTTTCGATGCGACGGAGAGAGAGACCAAAGAAAGGGAAGCAAGGGGGAAAGAAGAGACGGAGACATGGGTCAGCAATTGCCTCATCGTACACTCACGTTCGTTCTGACCATTACTAGATCAGGTCCCATTCTGAATTTTGTCGCTGGGCGCAGGAGTTCGCCTGGATCGAGCCTTACGTGGGAATCTGTACTGCCTGAACCAAATGTAAAGCCAGTCTCAGACTCGCTCCCGCTGGCTTAGTTATACCTAGTGGATTGCAATAAATTCTATGCCATATACTGGTTCGTCGAAATCTGGTAAGGACCCTACGAGCATGTAATTTGCTATTCTTACGAGAGGCCCTGTACGCCGCCGATGGCGCCGGAAGTGAAATGTGAGCGCGTGAGCTGCGCAGCCAACTTGTTCATGAACCATGATGTTGTGACATGCATGCTCGGTCCGCTCCCGCTCATCGAGATGTTCGAGCTGTACAAGACGTTCGAGGGTGCGTTATCTTCTCATCTCCCACTTTAGTGCTCGAAGCTGACTTGCTTGTGGCTCTCAGGTTTGTACTACAACCTCGGCTCGATCGTCAACCTCTCCGAAGACTCCGAGGTACACTTCAAGCACATCCAGGCCGCCGTCCGCACCAGCTCCGCGAAGTCGAGCGCATCGTCCGCGAGTCGAACCACTACAACATGGAGAACGAGGAGTCTGGGTCAACCACCTCGTCCAGGACTTCGAGACGAGACCCAAGAAGGAACTCTCCTCCATCCCGTCTGCCCTCCGCCGTCTCCGCAATGTTCATGAGCGCGCTAAGCGCGCCCTCTCCACTGCCACCCGCGAGGTGGACTCGCTCTCCTAGGGTATCGACTTCTGCCTCTCGCTCACTCGTACCTACTCGTGGAGTTCTGCCAGGACCTTTCCCGCTCTGCGCGCGAGCCTGTCGAGAAGATCCTCCGCGATTCCAGTCGAACGCCCGCGACATCGTTCTCGCCGGTGGCTCCGCCCCCATTCCCCACGCCATTAATTCTGTGTCTGACTTCTCCGACCGCAAGGAGCCCAACCAGTCGATCAACTCCGACGAGGTCGTTGCCTACGGTGCTGCCGTGCAGGCTGCTATTCTCACTGGTGATGCATCGGAGAAGACGCAGGATTCGCTCCTTCTCGACGTTGCGCCCTTGTCCCTTGGGTGCGTTCAATTTCTCTCACATCGTTCGCACCTTTGACTGACTTTGCATTCAGTATCGAGACCGCCGGTGGTGTCATGACGCCGCTCATCAAGCGTAACACGACCGTCCCGACCAAGAAGTCCGAGATCTTCTCGACTTACGCCGACAACCAGCCCGGTGTCCTCATCAAGGTCTTCGAGGGTGAGCGTGCCCGCACGAAGGACAACAGCCCGCTCGGCAAGTTCGAACTCTCCGGTATTCCGCCGGCGCCGCGTGGTGTTCCTCAGATCGAGGTCACCTTCGACATCGACGCCAACGGCATCCTGAACGTCTCTGCCTCCGACAAGACGACCGGCAAGTCGAACCGCATCACGATCACCAACCACTAGGGCCGCCTGTTGAAGGAGGAGATCGAGCGCATGGTCAACGACGCCGAGAAGTACAAGGCCGAGGATGAGGCCGCGGCCGCCCGCATCACCGCCAAGAACGGCCTCGAGTCGTACGCCTACAACCTCCGCAACTCGCTCCAGGACGAGAAGCTCGCGAGTAAGTTCGACCCCGTGGATAAGTGCAAGCTCGCCTCGACCATCAACGACACGATCTCGTGGCTCGACGCGTCGCAAGAGGTCTTGAAGGAGGAGTACGAGGAGAGGCGGAAGAAGTCGGAGAGCATTGCCAACCCCATCCTGCAGAAGCTCTACGGCGCGGCCGGCGGCGCACCAAGCGGCGCGGCCAAGAATGGCCCGTCGGTCAAGGAGGTCGACTAAGTGTTTCGCCACGTCCCAGTCCGTTCTTGAATCGTTACCTTTATGTCCACATTTACCTACTGTTCTCTTCTGTCGCATGTTCCGGACTCACGCACAAAAGTATCTGTCTTTGTACATTAGCATTCAATTGTAGAATATAGACTTTTCGCTCTCTCTTACCTCGCTTGAACTTTGGAGACAGGACCTGTCTCACCTCGACGTCGTGCCCTCTCTCTCGGGTACGTCAAATCGTTGTCCTATCTTATTCACGCTTTTACTGACTTTCGCTTTCAGTATCGTGGACGCCGGTGATGTTATGGCGCCTCTGTCGGGGTATCCTTATCCAGTTCTTCGGGGGTGAACGCGCGCGCGAAGGACAACAACATCTATGGCAAGTTCGAGCTCACCGATATTCCATCGTCGCCGTGTGGGATTCCTTAGACCGACGTCATCTTTGACATGACGCCAACGACATCCTCCACGTCTCCGCCTCCGACAAGACCACCGATAAGTCTAACCGCATCGCCATCACTCACGACAAGGGTCGTCTGTAGGAGGTGGAGGAGCGCCACGCAAACAACGCCGAGACGTACAAAACCGAGCACGAGGCCGCTGCTGCCGGTATCACCGCCAAGAACGGCCTTGAGTCTCACATCTACCATCTTCGTAACTCGCTTCAAGACGACAACCTTGCCGGCAAGTTCGATATGGTGGACAAGCCTAACTACGACTGGTTGTGAGCCCGCAGACGGTCCCTCGGTCAAAGCTTCAGAGGTCAACTACGCGGCTCCCTCGTGTTCGTCTTCTGCCTACTTGAATTGTTGACTCATTTGCTTACTATAACGCCATTTCTCTATTCTCGCACTCGCAGCACATGCAAAAACTTCGTTCCCTTCATACGTTACCTTCTCATCGAACTCACTCTTGTCCCTCACTCTCTTCGTTCGAACATCCCATTTGCTCGGCGCTCAATCAATGGATCTGCAATGGCCAACTATCGTCCATGTGCAAGCCGTCTTCCTCTCTGGTGCTACAGACGCGACAAACATTAGTACATAGGAGTCTGAGATGTCGGGTACGTTCGCAGTCCGGTGGTCCGGGATGTTCGCGTGTTCCCGACGTTCGAACCAGTGTAACTTCGAACATTCCCGACGTTACACTCTGAAATGGCTCGAAACATGATGAAATCATGGAGAGATCATAGCGGCTGAACTCAACATGTTTTAATCCTGAACTGCTTCATTGCATTATAATGTATGGGCTCAAAACAGGGTAAAATACATGATAAAATAATAATTTGTGATTTCAGCATTTTCTCGGCCGCGACATCGGTAAGTCATTGTCCATCTTATAACCTTGTTTTGTTTCTGCTTTGCACGCCATCATCGAGCCTTGCCTGTAGTGTTAGGGTTGGCTAGATAACAATGATAATTGACCAGTTTAAATACTAAACCCAGCACGAACCCCAAGGAAGCCTTCTGAGCCTCCACTCCGGAAGTTCGTGTCCTGTTAGCCCTAATCAAAACTATACCTATGTTTTGTGGAAGGAGGGGGGGCGGAGGTAACAGCCAGAAGGGCGTCGTCGCTGCCACGACCGGGTGGGAACGCGTGCCGGGATCCCGGGAGGTCGCGCGCGCTCGCGCCGGGCGCTTCCTCGTCGCAGTCATGGTTAGGTTTCGTCGAGAACTGGATGTCCTGGCCAGTCCGGGATGCCCGCCGTAACTGTATCGCGGGGAAGGGGGTACTGTGGGCTGCTTGCCCTAGGATAGGGTTTGGTAGCCCCGTTAATAACGTATGCTGGGCGGCGAGCCATTCTTAACCCGGTTTTTTAATCGCGAATGATAACCAGTTAATAAATGGCGGTATATTCACTGCACCTTAAAAGGCGCGCCAGCCTCTGAGCGAATCAGGGTATCTGGGTTAAGGTTGACCGGGCCGAGATCGCCGATAACTTCAACCCGGCTCGCCGCGTTTCCTCATCCCGAACGGCCACCAGGGCTACGTTACCACCTGCCAATCCCATGCTCTCTCAATACGAAAGTACCACAAATCGAATGATGCGAACACTACAGCACAACGAAACCGAATCCCATACTTCAAACACCGAAATGCACATACGGAGCCCATCTCACAAAGTTCCTCTCTCCGACACGCTCCCTCAACACCCCCACCGCATGATGCAGCGCATACGCCGCTCCAGTCTGCCCTACGACCGCCTCGGGCGTGCTCCTCAGCTCAAGCAACTTTTTGTAGTACGCCTCAACGACCACCGGTGCGTCGTCGTCTCCAATCGACCACATCGTCGCGATGATACCCTTGAACCCGACGGCGAGCATCCCTGCTGCGAGATGGATGGACTCTTCCGGGTTCTTCTCGTCGCCGACGGCGGTCTGGCACGCTGATAGGAACGCGAGCTCCGCGTCGTTCGCGACAGTGTTCATGAGCGTCGACAGCGTCAGAGGTCCATCGTATAGCGCGAACGCGCTCTGCGTCGGCCTAGCCGAGTTCTGGGAGCCGTGGCAGGCAAGATGTAGCCACGGATACCGGCTGATCTCGGGGATGGTAGCCGAGACGGTTGCCTCTTCGTGGACCATGAATACGCTGTCCGGGAGGAGCTCGCGAAGTCGAGCGCACTCGTCTTTTGTACCTGGAAGCGCTGCCAATTTGGGAGTTTCTGGTTGTGCCACAACAAGCATACAAGGCTCCGAGGGGCAGGCGCTCAGGCCTTCCCGGCAGCGTAGCAACGCTGACAGCGATGGTGTGTACGAGGAGACTACCAAGTCGAAGACGTGCGGTCGCCCAGGTTGCATGGTGTCATACTCGCCTGCAGCGTGGAGTGGTAACTGAGTAAGCGGACCCGTAGGACACCAGGTGATGTGCGGCAGTCGTTCTGGTTTGCTGCTGTTGCTGATCTAGAAGTGCAGTTCGGTACAACGGGCGTGACAGGTTATTGTGGAGTATAACTTACATAGCCCATGCCGTGCAGAATCGGCTGCACGACCCACGTCCACAGTCTGCTCAATACCATGTCAAACATAGTCAAGGTACCCCTCCAGCTGTACTGGCCAGGACGCACAGCGCCGCGTCTGCGCGGATCCGACCATGAGAGGCATCGCATCCATTGAGACCTCAAGCTACGCGCTCGGCTCTCCGTGAGGCCGGGGAGGGTTACGTGTCTGACCGCGCCGTTTGGGAAGAGTACAAGGGCGTCACACGAAGAGGTGTCGGTGTTGATGAAGACAACGGGGCCGTCCAGAAGTTCGATGGATGCCATCAGATTCTTGATCTGTGGCGGACGCATGTAGTTCTGGAAGCCAGGACAAGCCCGAATCTCCTTCAAGATATTCTCATACTCGATGACCAGACGGCGATGCCGATCCGCTTCTGTCGCGTGATCTGTTGAGAAGATAGGAACTCCGTGAACGACTTTGTTGTAGCTAGCTTGATGTACGCCATCGGAGGGTTGCGATCTATGCGCTCGCTCTTGAAGTAGATCCCCAGAGTATCGAAGCTTTGCCAACACACCCTCCAAGCGCGATGCAAGTGCAGGCTGCTCACTTGGCAAAATGTCGTCCAGTGGCATATTCAGGGAGGATATCTGCGACCACACAAGAGACCTTCCTGCTTCCATCCACTCTATAGCCTGGTACGCTGAGCGTGATTGAATAAAGGCGGACACAGCTGCATTCACCAATGATGCAAGTTTGGCCGACTCCTCGAACCGCCTATCAAGGCTGTGACCAAGCCACACAATCTCGGGGAAAATCCGGATAATGTTTGCATGGGCGAGCAATAAATCTTCTGTGGAACCGAACTCGGGGTACTCGGACAAGAGCGAGACACAGCACAACGCTGCATCCAGACGATTCGACGGGCTGCCTAGTGATTGAGCAGCGGCATTCATGAAGCAATCTACTGCCGAGTCAAAATTCCGTTTGCTCTGCTGTCTCTGCAAGCGCGCTGATAATGAGAGACCCAGGTTATGGAAGCGGAGAACCTTATACAGATCTCCATTAGGTGTCAGCTCGAGTGCAACTTTTCCCGTTTTGATAGCTCGCTCGAGGTCTGACGCATCCCGGCGGAGTTCGTAGCGCCCCTCAAGAGAGACGGCCAAGTTCGCAAGTTGTATGGGCCTGTCAGGGTGGTCCATAGGCGTGAGATCAAGCACGAGCTCTTGTATCTTTATCGCGCGCTC